ATTGTTTTTGTTGTTAAAAGATGTAAAAAAGCATGTAAGACACAGCTAACCTATTTGTATGTTGCCTTGATCAACAAAATAAACACAACTGTATGTGTCTGAATGAGTTGCAAATGTGCAGTAGCCCTGCCTAGATCCTACCTTAGAAGCCCTACACATTTCCATGCCTACATGTAAGTTAGGGCTTGCAGGTCTGAGTCTTCTCTCACTCTGTTGGCTAACCAGGTTACTCTTAATTTACATGAATTTGAGAGAGAAATTAAGGAAAATCAGCTGTCATCAGGCAATGCACTTGGAGGATTGTGTCATAGATTCATAGATGCTAGGGTCGGAAGGGACCTCAATAGATCATTGAATCTGACCCCCTGCCTACACAGGAAAGATTGCCTATCCAGATGCCTATCCAGTCTTCTCTTAAAGACCCCCAAGGTAGGGGAGAGCACTACCTCCCTTGGAAGCCCATTCCAAATTTTGGCCACCCTTAACCGTGAAGATGTTTTCTCTGATATCTAGCCTAAATCTTCTCTCTCTCAGTTTGTGACCATTGTTCCATGTTACCCCAAGAGGTGCCCTGGTAAACAGAGCATCTCCGATCCCTTGCTGCGCCCCGCTGATCAATTTGTAGGTGGTCACAAAATCACCTTTCAGCCTTCTCTTGTGGAGACTGAAGAGGTCCAGGTCCCTCAGCCTCTCCTCGTAGGGCTTGTCCTATAAGCCCCTAACCATACAAGTGGCCCTCCTCTGGACCCTCTCGAGTCTATCAATATCTTTCTTGAAGTACAGCACCCAAAACTGGATGCAGTACTCCAACTGTGGTCTGACCAATGCTGCATAGAGGGGAAGTATCACCTCCTTGGTTCTATTTGTCATGCATCTCCTGATGCATGATAAAGTGCGGTTAGCTTGGCTCATGATTTCATCACACAGACAACTCATGTTCATCCTGGAGTCCACTATGACTCCGAGATCTCTTTCCGCTTCTGTGCTGCTGAGAGGATCATTCCACAGCCAGTAGGTGTGCTGGATATTTTTGTGCCCTAGGTGCAGCACTCTGCACTTGTCCTTGTTGTCCTGCATCCTACTGGGCACTGCCCACTTTTCTAACCTGTCCAGGTCTGCCTGCAATCGTCCCCTACCCTCTGGAGTGTGCACTTCACCCCACAATTTAGTATTATCCACAAACATGGACAGAGTACACTTCACACCCACATCCAAGTCACTAATGAAGATACTGAAGAGTACAGGTCAAAGGACCGAACCCTGCGGGACCCCACTACCCACATCCTTCCAGGTCAATACCGACCCGTCTACTACGACTCTCTGGGTGCAACCACTAAGCCAATTTGCCACCCACCAGACTATGTAAACATCAGTGTCACAGCCTCTTAATTTATTTATGAGAATGGGACGAGATACAATATCAAAGGCCTTGCTAAAATCCAAGGAAACGACCTACTCCTGCATCTAAGTGTTTTGTGATCCTATCATAAAACAAAACCAGATTGGTCAGGCATGATCTACCTGCTATGAATCCATGCTGGCTTCCCTGCTGCGTTATTTTTCCCCCTGGCCTGCCACAAATATGATTCTTCATAATCTTTTCAAAGACCTTTCCAAGGATGGAGGTGAGACTGACTGGCCTATAATTACTCAAATTCTCGTTTCCTTCTTGAAAAGAGGGACCACATTGGCCCTTTTCCAGTCCTCTGGGACCTGACCTGAGCGCCACGATAGTTCAAACAGCTGTGCCAGTGGTTCTGCAGTGACACCGGCCAATTCCTTCAGTACTCTCAGATGCAGCTCATCCGGGCCTGCTGACTTGAACACATCCAGTCCATCCAAGTACTCCTGCACCAAGTCAGCGTCGACAGTTGTTGAGCTGGTGTCCCTCTGATGCCCATCTGAAAACCCATTAGGAGACTTATCTTGAGCCCTGTTCAGGAACACCAAGCCAAAAAACTCATTGAATAGCTCAGCCTTATCCCCCCTGCCTGTCACCAATTGCTCCTTCTTGTTCAGTAGGGGTCCTATGCTGCTGTGAACCTTCCTTTTGCCTCCCTACATACCTTAAAAAAGACTTTTTGTTGTCTTTAATTTGTGTTGCCAGTCTCAGCTCTGTAGTTGCTTTGACTTTTCTAACTGCCTCCCTGCAAGTGCGGGCCAAGTAGGTATACTCCTCCTTAGTAGCTTCCCCCTGCTTCCACCACCTATATGCCTTCTTTTTTTGCTCTTAGGCTCCCCTGGATTTCCCTGTTTAGCCAAGGAAGTTTTTTGGCTCCTTTCCTCCTTTTCCCTTGTACTGAGATAGTCTCCCTCAGCACCCGAAGGATTGCTTCCTTTAGAAATGACTACCCTTCCTGGACTCCCATCTCGCCAATACTCCTATCCTGCAGTGTGTCATTGACTAGACTTCTAAGCACACTGAAGTTAGCCTTCCTAAAGTCAAGTACTTATACCCTACTAGTTACCTCACCCACCCTATGCCATATGGTGAATTCAGTTGATTGGTGGTCACTGTCCCCAAGGTGACCACGAATCTGCAGCTACCCTACCAGGTCCTCCCCTGTAGCCAACACCAAGTCCAGTAAGGCATTCCCCCTAGTGGGACTGTATACCTCCTGCATTAGGTGAAGGTCCTGCATGCAGGTTAAGAACCTACGTGAACGGTTGGATTTGGCTGACTGCTCCTCCCAACAGATGCCAGGGTAGCTTAGGTCCCCAATGACAACCATGTCCCTAGACTGTACGGCCATTGAGACCTGCCTCAATAATTCCAAGTTTAGCTTTTCTTCTTGGTGTGGTGGTCTGTAGCAGACCCCCACCACCAAGTCCCTTTCCCCTCAGCCTCCATGTATCCTAACCCACAACGCCTCAACTTTCTCCTCCTCTGATCCCATTTTAATTAGGGTAGATGTATAATGCTCCTTTACATAGAGAGCAACCCCGCCCCCTTCCCTCCCTACTCTGTCCCTTCTGTACAACCTGTAGCCCTCAATGTGTACGGTATAGTCATGGGTAGGGTCCCACCAGGTTTCTGTTAGCCCCACTAAATTGAAGTTATTATCTGCAAGCAGAAGTATGAGTTCTTCCTGCTTGTTCCCCATGCTCCTAGCATTAGTATAGAGGCACTTGAGCCCTCCGAATGGTGCCTTTGCCCCCCCCACCTTCTGATGCCCAAAGGGCCCTTGGTACTTACCTGGGATGTACTGCTGCATGTCTCGTAGTTTGTAGGTTCTAGACTCTCTCCATCTCCTGCCTCCCTGTCCCCCATCATACTTTGTTTAAAGCCTGACGTAGGAGGTCAGCCGACCTATAAGAAAAGAGACTCTTACCTTTTGTGGAGAGATGAAGCCCATCGCGTCCCAGGAGGTCCCGTGCATGGAAGTGCAGATCGTGGTCCAGGAAGCCAAAACCTGCATGATGGCACGAACTCCAGAGCCATGGTTTGACTTCTCTGACACAGGTGACGTGATGCCTACTGCAACCGCTGACCGGGAGGATCGACGACAAAGCCACCTGTGCCCCCATCTTCTTAAGCCTGGTCCCCGGAGCCCCGTAGTCATGATATGGTTTGAACTACTCCTGGCCACATCATTTGCTCCCCCATGAATGAGAACCATGGGATAGTTGTCAGAGGGCCAGATGAGGTCAGGAATTCTTGCCGTGATGTCCCTGATCCTGGCTCCGGGCAGGCAGCAGATCCAGACGACAGATGGGTCCCTCTGTTCCTTTCAGCAGGGACTCACATACAACGATGACACAGTGTCTCTTCTTCTTATCTGGCTGGCCCTCAGCTCACTCAGTGATGGCGGCAGGCCCCTCCAGTGCTCTTTCCCCCACCTCACACTCCTCCAGTGCAGCCAGGGCCTCATATTTGTTCCCCAACTGCACCGGGGGAGCTGTCTCTGCAGCGAGAGGCCTGGCCCCTGAGGTGACTGTCCTCCACTCACCAGCACCTGCTTTAGGGCATTCCCTCACAGCTTCTCCGCCAGGTGTCTTGTCCTGCAGAGAATGAAAGTGGCCATCAGTCTCTTCTTCAGTTGCCCTGATCCCCCACAGCCTGCTCACTTCTGCTTGGAGTTCCCTCACCTGCCTCTCTAGGGCCTTGGTCCAGGCACATGTGGGATAGGGAAGGGAACCCCCCCAGCCCCCGTGCTACCCCCAGGCCTCAGAGGTCCTGCCAGGCAACCTGCACAGACAGGGGGACAGGGCACTGACAACCCATCCAAGGGGCCTGTCTGGGTGGAGGCCTCACAGGAGCTCTGGGCTGGAAGCAGTAGCAGGGCAGGGTCCCTGGTTGCACTCCATGTCACCACCCCCATAGTAGCCCCCCTCCTCATTCACTTACCTGAAGTCTTTCAGAAGCTCCCATTTATTTCTGCCCACGACTGGCCTGTGAATTGCCTGCGAACTGCTCCCTTGTTGGCAGTCCCTACTCGCTGGCTCCCTGGTCAGAGACTCCCTGGTTGCCTGGAGAGTCTCCTTCTATACCCTTCTGGGCCTGGACTGACTCAGGACCAGTCAGCAATCCTACAGCAATCAACAGTCACTCAACACTTACTCCCAGCTTCTCAGAGCACACACCCACCAAACAAATAAACCATCAGCTAAACCAAAGGTACAGGTAGCTGGATCACTTACCTTTCTCCGGCAGGATCTAGTGCCTGGCCTGGCTTCTCTCCTCCTTCTTCCCTTGTCAGAATCCAAAGTTCATAGGAGCCACAGGAAAGACATTGATGGGATTTGGATCAGGCTTTTTATGCACATTCAGTTGGGCAGAACACATCTCTGTGTAATCGCACATTAGTTCCTATGATTCGAAAATATACAAAATGTGTGAGCTTATATACCAGTCTTACTATTGCCACCACATCTATCTTGATATTGTATGCTCAAGTGCCCATCACTAAACAAAGAGACTGCATGATAAGCTGTGCATTTTTGTTCCCAATTATGCAAGTAAATGCCTTAGTGTGGATTTTTCATTCCTGTCTTACTAGATTTTACAAGGGGCATCATCGCAGAATGATCTGCAGAAAAAAAAGAGACGTGCGCCTCCACCCCCAACTCCAACTCCTGCCATGCCAAATAGGACTGAAGAAAAGGAAGACAAGAGAAAGAGCACAGTCGGTAAGAGCCCTTCTTTTCTCCTCTCTCCAGTCCCATGCATGCACTTTATGTGGACTGCTTCGCTGCTTGAAGATTTCATAACTCTGTGTCCCATTCATTGGAAACTATATAATCTGGACATATATTTAACATGCAGAATGAAAGTCTGGAAATAAGCATTCAGTGCCACATTTTGTGACTTGTCAACACTTTCAGGTGTTCATAGAAGAATAAAAGCTGATATTACCATTGGGTGTTTTTTTAATACAGAATTAAAAATATTTTTTCAGAAGCATTTAGTCTGAGCTCTTCTCTTGTCCACTTAAAGTCAGTGAGAGCTTTACCAGCAGGAGAAAAGTTAAGCTAATGTGCATTTGAAGATCACCATCCCTGCCCATGTCAGTCATAGAATGGCATTTGAATTCATGGGTCTGACTTCTGGGGGCATGAGCAGGTCTCCAGCAGGTCTGCAGTATCATATACCTCCATTCCCTTCAATGGAGCCTTAATGCTGTACATTAACTGAGATGTCCCTATAATTTGCAAAGCCTTCAGACAGTTGCACAGTCTCTTTTTTGTTAGTTCTGTGACAGTCTAACAGCAGTTGACCATATTCGGTGAAATCACATTCTCTCTTCTGTCCAATTTGAGCCTGATCTCCATTAACGGAGAATTTAAGTAATCAGTATGAGAATGAAGCAGGCATGTTCTGCAAGAAATTCCATACAAAGCTAAAGAAGATCAAGGCACTATAGTTTGCAGTTTTATGTTATACATCCCATTTACTCACCCAGAGAAAACGAGCAGTACTCCCCCCATACTTCAGTCCTGATGCAATGAAAACTCTCTTTTAATGTGGTGGAAGTTTTACCCGAGTGAGGACAGTAAGATTATGCCTTTAGCAGGCAAAGTGGTTTTCTTATGGGTTCCTGAAAGATATGAGATAATAGCCTCACATATTAGAACTCATTATCCAGTACATTAAGAGAATCATTTTTAAAGTGCCATAATGCACTCAGTACACTCTAGGTCATGTGTTTGACCTCATGTTTCACAAAGCACCCAAGACATGCAGATATGATACCCTAAGTGAACACCTTGTCATATATAATTGCTTACATTACAAATGCCTTTCAGTTTAGAAAGAAACCTCTTGGCTTGGTTTCAACATTTATTTTCAGTAAATGCTTCACATTTAATGTCTCAGCATTTATATAGCAGCAGGAGTCCATTATCCTGTGACATGTTTGACTCCATTGACATCTCTTATTTAAACCCTCTAAGGAGATGTTATTCCTGCTCAGTATAACATAGTAGTTTTCAGAAAAATAGCTTTCTGATGCCACAGTCTGCCATTTCCAGTGCCATTCCTGATAACCACTCGTTCCTTATTGATGGCATAAGGTGTTTTAACTTTAGGCAGATGTTAATTTTGTGTTAAGTCTCTGTTTGGAAGGTTACCACTCATGTCTGTCCCCCCGCTATATAAGTAACTATTTGTTGGATAGACTAATCTGTTGTGAATTGCTATAGCATCATTGATGTTAATGGAGCTTTACCAATTTACACTGGCAGAGAATATGTCCTATTATAACCTCCCCTGCATTTGTCATTTTTGTTACAATCCCAAATGACTATCACCATTGACACAAAGACAATGTTACAAGGCTAGTAAAGGCTGATAAAACAGTCTCTCTTTGAGACAGTTACTAAAAACCTCTGAAAAAGGCAAAAGGAGACATGGATGTGGTGGGGAAACAGACAGCAGCATGATGGGAAGTATCATGGGTTTCTCCTGTTCTGACCACGTGAATCAGAACATAAAGATCCTATTCAAGCATTCAACTGACAAATTGGTCACTTTAAATAGTTAGCACTAAATCACTTATATCAATCCCAGAGTTTTCTGGTCAGTTTCTTTCAAAGCAAGCAAAAAGGGTCATCAGACTATGGCATTCTTGTAAGCGTTACAATGTTACGTAAACATTTGGAAGCCGAGTGTATTCTAGGAAAATCTAGTTCAGTTTAATCTCTTCCCCCGTTCTTGCTTCTGCTTACCTGCAGTAGTACGCCGATTCATACAAGGCCTTGTAATAACAGTGTAAGTTATCTATCATGTAGTCCGTAAAATAAATCCTTTGAAGAGGTTTGGGTGGCATTGGCAAATTAATTGGACTTAAATTATTCCTGGTAAACTCCGGTTTAGTTAAGGCTGAACATTCCCAGATACCCAGAAGATTTGAGACATGATCAGGAAGCATAAGGGCCCATGTGAGATCACGAATGCGGAGTGTTATTCACACCCAAACCTGTAAGTAATCGTACGCCTCTTGTTTCATACACCAAAGGGAAAGATGGATCTGGCTTCCACTTATACCAAACCTTTCTGGGTTTACTCATCACCCACTGACCACAGGTCATGGCATTGCTGATAATTACTGCTGCATGCAGTAATATAGAAGTTATATACTTTGGATACCTATAGATGTGTGGGGATGCTGCTCCAACGTGCTATAATTACAGTGCATCAGAGCAGACTCAATTAACTGAGTCTGCTGGAGCATGCTAATTACCTTGCTCCATCAGCCTCCACATGTCATGTATTCAGTGTTCCTGCACTTCAAAATGGCAGCGGGGACACATTAACTAAAGCTCATTTTGAAGTGCAGGATGTTGAATACATGAGATGCTGCGGGATCATTAGTGTGGCTCTCAGAGCCACTCTAATTAAAGTATCCTCCTCCCACCCAGCCCTAGAGCACGTGTAAAGATGTGTTTATCTTCTTTAGCTTGCACAGCGCCAAAATAAGCACCAAGGCCAAGGATCTCAGCACCATATCCTCTCCTATCTCTTAAAGATGTCTAAACTTTTGGCACTGCTAGCCCTGAAAGCATATATCTTGTGCTAGGAATGCTCTTCTATTCTGCCCAAGGAGGCACAAAGCTTTTCCTTTCTCTCAGTGCGCCACCACCAAAGACCAGTTCTGTTTCACCATGGTAAGACATTGACAACAGTTCCATTTTTCTATAGTTCTTACACTTAGAAGGTTTTTTCTGAGATTTCATGTAAATCTTAGAGGTGGAATAGGATCTGGGCCCAATTTTTTCTGACATAGGCTAAAAGCACCATCATTCAACCACTAACACAATGCAACTGCCATTCCATAAGTAAATGACAAACACCCATAAAAGAAACTGTTCACCAGGGGCCACATTCTATTCCAGCTGTTACACATGCAAGTGAATTTAGGTGCCTAAATGTGTGCTATACTACCCTACTCTAGTCCCTCAAAAACTATTAATACCAAAGCTGGGTAGGTCCTCCTCTTAACCACTTTTTGTGACTGAGTCTTAAAGGTCAGAAAAGGGTATGTTACAGAAGCAGATGTATTAGATTTTTAGGGATTTGAACAAGGATCACACTTAAGCACCTACTTTGCACCTAATAGGTGGACTAGAATCTGGCATCCATGTGCCTTTATCATTCTCTTCCTTTGTTTAGGAAGATAGGAAAAGAGACAGCTTTATTTAATGTTGTTGAGGTCAACAGGATGCTGGAGGGTAGGGCTTGAATTCAGAGAAACCTCCACAAATTGGAAGCCTGGACTAAAAGAAATCTCATAAGGTTCAATAAGGAGAAATGCAAAGTCCTGCACTTAGGATGGAACAGCCCCATGCGCCAGTACCAGCTGGGGACTGACTGGCTAAGCAACAGCTCTGCAGGAAAGGACCTGGGGATTAGAATGGACAAGAAGCTGAATATGAGCCAGTAGTGTGTCCTTATTGCAAAGACGGCTAACGGCATACTGGACTACATTAGTACAGACATTACCAACAGATCGAGAGAAGTGATTATTCCCTTCTATTCAGCACTGGTCAAGACATATCTGACGTACTGTGTCTAGGACAGGAACCCCACACTACAGAAAGGATGTGGGCAAATTGGACAGAGTCCACTGGAAAGCAGTGAAAATGATTAGGGGGATGGTGCACATGACTTCTTAAGAGAGATTGAGGGAACTTGTCTTACGTAGTATGAAAAAGATAAGACTGAAGGGGATTTAATAGCAGCCTTCAGCTGTCTGAAGGGTGTTTCCAAAAGGATGGATCTAGACCAGGGGCAGGCAAAATGCAGGCCAGATCTGACCCAGCAAGCCATTTTATCCAGCTCTCAGGGCCCCTAAAAATTTACAAAATTAATATTTCTGCCTCACGTTGCCTGTCAAAGTTGATAGGAACCAGGGGCAGTAGGACCCAGGGGAAGCCAGCGGCAGAACTAAACAGCTGCAGCAGCAAGTCCAGCCCCCCACAAAGCCCATTGCCCCCCCACACACACACACACCTATCCAGCCCCCCACAACCCCCGCAACATGCACACCCTCCCCCAAACCCCACAGACCCACAGACCTATACCCACCCTCCCACAATATACAAGAGCAAAACTTCATTTTAAGCTATTATACTATCACCTCTATGTACACTACACAAACTCATGTAAATCAGGACAAAAATAACTTTTTAATAAAATTAATGAATGTTGTAGTACATTTGAATTTTACAGTATAATTTGGTATTTTTTTAGTTCAGAGATGGCAAAACCCCTTGCTGAAAGGTACTTCTGGGGGGAAGGGGAGGGATTTCTGGTGGTAAAGGTCAGGGGTTAGGGGGTAGAACTTCCAGTCCCAAGATGGTAATCAGGGGGTGGGGCACCTGTCAATGGGCGGGGCTACCATGTGGCCCTCAATGGCTTAACAAAACTCGGTAAGTGGCCCTCTTCCAGAAATAATTGCCCACCCCTGAGCTACAATGACAGAACAAGGAGCAAAGTTCTCAAGTTGCAGCAAGGGAAGTTAAGGTTAGATGTTAGGAAAAACTGTCACAAGGAGGGTAGTAAAACACTGGAACAGGTTACCCAGAGAGGTAGTAGAATCTCCATCCTTGGAGGTTTTTAAGACCCGGCTGGACAAAGCCTTGGCTAGAATTATATAGCTGGGGATGGTCCTGCTTTGAATAGAGGGTTGGACTAGATGATCTCCTGAGGTCACTCCCAACCCTAATTTTCTATGATTCTGTGATAATGTGAACATACATGGTGGGGTCCTTCAGACCAAAGGAGAAGAAAATTCCAAAAGAGAAAAAAAACTCAAAAGGATATTTTCTCTTTGGTATTTTTAAATCAACATGCTTTACTCCTTACTTATGCTTGTCAAAACACTTGTGGATGTTTCTGTTGATTGCCCGGGGTAGATTGTGACTTCATACATGTATATCCCAGGACTTATTCTGATCTCATGCACATAAACGTATTGCCAGAATAGCTCGATCTATTCCTTTATTATTTATACAGAGATGAGTGAGAGCAGAATCAGACCCAGATAGAGTGTGTGTGTGTGTGTGTGTGTGTGTGTGCACACGTGCACATGCTCATGTGCATGTACATGCGTGTGTATCTGTGTGTGGAGGGGGAAAGAAAAAAGGGAAATGAGTGCATATGCCTGTATGTGTTTTAAAGCAAACTTTACAACTGGATTGACAATAAAGTAACTAGCTAATTGATCCCCCTGTAGGTAATGGACGACAGGTGCCACAAAAGCCTCCTAGAGGCAACACACGTGGTCCACCCCAGTTAGTGATTCCCCCACCCCCACCTTACCCTCCTCCTGACAGAGATATTATGGATCCAACTGTCTGTTACAGTGAAGCAGATGTAACGGCATCAACAAAGCTGATACCTAAACGTATGTTTAAAATAATACATATTTGCTGTTTATCTCTTTGATGGGCACTCTCGGGGTGACTTTTTCCAGACTTTCCTCTCTGCTCTCCAGACATGCATGTTTTTCTTTTCCAGTCTGTCTTCTTTTGAAATGCTCAATGCATTATATCTGTGTAACTAACTAATGTGAAGTGAATAAAAGACTGGCTGCCAGATAATACTGCTGCTGCTGCTTGGCTCTTTTATGGAGATGTGACAATCAAATCTTGTAGGCTTTATGCATTTGGAAGCACAAGTGTGTGGATTTATAACTGTTTTCTCTTTTTCTGCATGAATATATGCATGAGAGTGTCGTGGAAACACACGCAGCATACTTTTGGGTCAGGTCAGCAGAAGCTTTTATTTAAAAGAAACTACAGCTGTAGGGGGGATTTCAAAGTGACATGGATTTCCCAAGCACTTGGAAGGGGTCGTCCCCCCCCAAGAGCAAAATCAGGAGGCTTATATACTTTTTTAACAGTTGCTTACAACTCACGTGATCATATAGTGAAATTAGCATGAAAAGCGGCTATAATGTTACTTTATTATTTCTTTGCTGTAATCAGGATGGGAACTAATGGGGGAGGCGAGGTTAGTTCACAAACCTCCTTCTTGCACCTGCAAATCAGAGTTGTACATACTTTTTGCTATCTTCAAGGCCGCGGTGAGCGAAGCAGTTGCAGAGGAGTTATAAAGAACAAACACTTTCTCTTATCTGTTCTACTATACAGAGCCAGCAATTCTCCACAAAGCGGTTATGTCATCTTATAACTAAAATAATCAAAGTTTAAGGCATATATTTTTTCTGATTCCACAAATGCACACCCATCAGCTGCAATATCCACTCAGATGTAGCTATGGTAATGATGCTGAAAAGTCTACCCCACACTCTCATGATTGAACAAATGGGTATAGGATCAAAAAGGAAACTTTCCTCAAGTCAGATTGGCAAAGAGTGAGAGTGATTTTTGCTTTCCTTGGGATCATCTGTGCAAATTTTACCTAGCAAATTACCTACCATTACCTGTGGTGTGAGAGAGGGGCTGGAGTTGAGGTTTTTATGGATCATTTGGGATTAAATTTCTACTGCATAAAATCACAAGGGACTGGGCTCAATAACTGGGGTGTCCCTTTAGAGCCTGTGTTTGTGCTCCATATTTAGTTCCCTCAAAAAGTGCCCATATTTTTAAAAGGGCTGAGCTACCAGCAGTAGCCATTATGATATCATTTATGGTGCCTCAGTATGGGGCACTAGATAGTACCTAACCTGAAGAACACATTTTGATTTTCAATCTTCTAACCTCTTTTAAAAGTTCACTGTCCTGTATGAGCAGTACCTTAACATGCAGCAAATGAAAACCTCTGAAAGAATAGTATAGGGATTTGTAGCTTGGGCAATGCAGAGCATCTGGAATGCATTATTGTTTTTATTGATTTCTCTTTTAATATTTATTTATTCTATTTAGGGCATGGGACCATGAAAGACCCCAAAGCCTATATTTTCCCCCCTCTCCTTTAGACCTGCCTTATAGGTTCAGGGGTGCCTCCTCAGCAAATTCTCTTTTGTGGCTTCAACATATATCATGTGTTTTAAATTTTAAAGATTTAACAATCACTTGCACATAGTTTTCCTTTATCTTAACAGTAGCTTTCTTTTATCTTAACCTCAGTTAAAACAAAGTAGGTCAGAGACTCTAGCCAGTAGCAGCAGCTGCAGAGATAACCCAGGCAGGGACTTATGCACTGCAGAAAAGGGATAAAGTAGAGCCCAGATAGGGCCACCCCCTTCACGTGACACGGTTCTTGGGCAAGGACCAAGAGGTGCCTTCCCTCGCTCCTTTCTCCCTAGCCATGTATGGTCTTGGGAAAAAACTGCAGAGAACAGCCAGCCAGTAGATCTGGCATAAGCAGGAATTGTTGAACATTCACAGATGTTTCTTCATCTTTAGGAGCGGACCGATGGGCAGCTAACGAGTAGTGTCTAACGAAGCCGCCGTTTATTGTTCCCCATTGCCGGAGGGATATTGGTACTCCGATCATTGGGATTCCTTGTTGTAGGTGCGCTGGGCTGTGAGAGCATATCCAGCAGTCACTTTTATTTCCAGCTTGAGCCACCGTACGGGAGATCTGTAAGTACAAATTTTTCTCCCACCCCCCTTGGGTGATACTGAGATACCCAAGTGTGATATATAAGGATATCAGTGCCATTTTTAGATACAGGAGGGACAAAGAATTTTAACAACAAACATAACCAGCACCAGTAAGAAAAAGAACACTTTTTTTTTCTGATTCCACAAGAGAGGCCTTTGAGGTACAGTAGGGTATTGAGCAGTCACTCAAATCTTCATTCCCCAAAATTTTGGAAGCTGGAGCTACCTCTCAAGCAAGTGAAACCCTTTGAATCAACCAAACATATATTGATAGATAAGCCATTCTTAACAGGTGCATCTTCCATGCTGACTCTGGCAATCCCTTCATGCACTGTCTCCAACCTTAGGAGAGTTACTGTTACCATACAATGAAAAATGTTAGTTCCCACATGCCTGCATATTTGTGAAAAGCAGTGTAATATCTTATAGTGATAGTTATCATATAGATATAGTCCTTTAAGTCTTGATCTAGAGTCTGAGACTCTAACCGTGATAATAATTCTATGTTGCTACATCCCTGTACACACACAGAAACAGTAAACTTGGATTGACAATCTATATGTGAACCATAGAAAGAGAAAAATATCTTGCTGTTTGCTAATTCCACTGAGATTTTTTCCTGGGAATGTTCCTTTGCCAGGATCACACTTTGAATGCCTCTCACCCAGCTTTATAAATGTCAGTAGCTCTTCTTGTTGAATACCAGTGGAACCCAAAGCAGCATTTTTCAGATCTTAAAGAAATGTAGAATTTCAGGTTTTATAAGGGGGGGAGAGGAAAACCTAGATCATGGACTTATACTGCTAGAAAAAGGATTATTGTGGATTAACCTATTATACTCCTAGCAGCATATGAATGAAAATATCATTATAGTTAGATTTTTCAGTTGTATACCGTCAGTTCACATACAGTGTTTCCTATTACAAATCTGTATTAAAAATCTGTTCTGGTCGTCCTTGAATTAATATTTGTGCTTCATCCGACTTCCTATCATTGCAGTATTTTTCAGTGCTTCCCTGTTCCACCCTGATGATCAAATGCACTTTAATCAACATGGCTCTGATGTTATCAGTCAGATCAGTTGCTTTTAAACAAACATAATATTCCAGCCAAAATTCTATGATTGAGCCCGTACATTGCATAAGCTCACTGAAGGAAGGAGAACTTTGTGCATTTTTCAGGGCTCTGTTCATCAGTATTGCCCCTAGGCAAATCTTTCATAATTTTTATACTTTGTGCTACCCTAGAAATACATGTGTGCATGTTCTATATGTTTTTAATAAAAAAGAATAATCTCTGTAATTGATTCATGGACTTACTGTGGGGAAAGAAAAAGAAAACAAAGGGACTGCATGTGCGTGTTCATAATCATGTGGCGGAATGCACTTTTGAAAGGTACTCAGATACTGTGGTGTACTGGGTGTTTCATGAGAACCTTAGAAGAAGTAAATGACGTGTTGTGTCATATAATGCACACAAAAATCTAGATCTCAAATGTCTGCAAGAGAAATTTCCCTGATTATGTTGGATATAGGACTTCAATGGTGACTAAAGATAAATGTTCAAATCTCAACATACTATCCTCTTTCTACATATGTATGTAGGAATGGGAGGTCTGGCTAGAGCATTTCAACAGTATGATTGCGGTTAGTTGCTTGATAAGGCTGTGTCTCAACCCATAAACCTTTGGGGTGAAACCCCAGCCCTGCTGCAGCCAATAAAAAGTCTGCCATTGACTGCAATGAGGCCAGGATATCACCTATGCTTTCTAACCATCTCTTGTATAGTCATAGATATTGTTGCTAGGTGAGGAAAGGATGCACACATCACAAAGATGAAAAAAAATGGTTTCTTTCTCCAAAAACAGAGGGTCATTAAAAATTAGGCAGACAAAGTTATTTGGATAAATGTGATATCTTGTATTAAGCCAAATAAATAGTTGGGAAAATTATTCTTTGCAAAGTTTTGGGTACAAGCACCCTGCTTCAGGCAGAGGGAAAGCCATTAAAAATTAGCACACTTACCAGATTACTATGCCAAAATTGCCAACTGTATGTTTCTAATCTTACCTTCAGCAAATGTTTAGATGCTTGGAAATTTTGAAAATCAGTCCTGTCCCATCCCATCCCATCCCATCTTATCCTGTCTCCTCCCCACCCCTTTATTAGGTGTCTAAATCATCACCTAAATTTAAGAAAACTGGCTATAACATCATGGGATGTGGTAAGAATAGGAGGCTAATGCATAAGGATCTGCGGTGAGGCCCTGTGTTACTTGAGAATACCTTTGACAGCACAAATAGAACACAAGCAGAAGAGTATAGTTATGTCTTCCTTACTTTGACTGCCATAAATATACTTTCTCAAAAAAAAGGGAAGACTAGAAAGTGAAGAAATGCACTGGTATCTGATACTGATGGAATGCATGTTTACCTTTAAATGAGAGAGGAATTCGTACTAATGAATAATTTCTTTCTGCCCAAATAAATGTCATCACCATTTTCCCTTCACACGCTCTGATTCTTAAATTAGGAATTTGATTCTTAAACAGGAATTAAAAGTCTGTGATCATTTGTGCAGAGTTTAAATTCCTGTGCCTTACTCTCCACTATGTTTTTATGAGACACCACACCTCTTCCCTGTTCCTCTCCCACCAACTAGACAGTTATCCCATTGTGCTCAGAGAAGCCCATACTTAAGTATTCCCATGTTAGAGGAAGTGGGGGCAGTCACTCTTCACAGTTTCCCAAACTTATGTGGAGCCATGGCATTGATGAATAGTGTCTTTACTGAGATATTTGAGCTTTTCAGCCTCAGTGGTAAGAGTTTCATCA